AGACAACAGAAGCTACAGGTATGGAGAGACTGTTCTTCCAGACAACAGAAGCTACAGGTATGGAGAGACTGTTCTTCCAGACAACAGAAGCTACATGTATGGAGAGACTGTTCTTCCAGACAACAGAAGCTGCAGGTATGGAGAGACTGTTCTTCCAGACAACAGAAGCTGCAGGTATGGAGAGACTGTTCTTCCAGACAGCAGAAGCTGCAGGTATGGAGAGACTGTTCTTCCAGACAACAGAACAGAACAGAGCAGCAGGTTATGACAGTGAAGCAGGAAGCTGTGAGGATCCATCACTCACCAGATAGGGACATCAGGTTGTTGTTGATGACGTACAGCCATGTGCATTTCCTCGGGAACAGCTGCAGAGGGAATTAAACAAAAATAAATTAGCTTAAAAGTATAAAGGAACGGATTAAAAAGTGAGCTTATACTCTCCTACATTAGCTGTAATCATTAGCAAGTCTTAGCAAAATTATCTCGGAAAAAGAAAGTACGTTTTTCTACTTTCTAATCCTGGTTTTAATAATTCATTTTGATTGATTTTAGCAGCTGTTACCTGCTCCATTGTGGCTTCATGCAGCTCGTTAAGATTCAGCGTGTAGATGCCATCCTCCGTCCCAAAGATGAGGTACTGATCTAAAAATAGAACATTCTTAAGAGTTATTTACTGGCTTTTAATAAAACATGTTTGTGTGCCACTGTTGTTGTTGTTGTTGTTGAATCTGTACCTTTGGTGTCCGGATGAATCCATGACGTGGCACAGTTGATCTTCAGAGGACAGCCGTCAAACACTTTAGAGAAACACGCTCCCATCTGAAATAGAAAAAAGGGAAACAGGGCTCAGCGTTGGATCAGTGAGGCGGGGAAATGTCAGCCAGAGTTTAATGAGTTGCAGCTGAAAGCTCGGCGGACCCCGGACATCAATGACATCACATTTAATAACAGGGTGAAGACAGAGGATCAGAAACCCTTCATTCATCCAGCAAAGGGTTACAGCAAAGAGACCGTGCAGATAAAAGCTAAATAACAAAGACTAATGCTGGACCCACGGTAATATCCTGCCTGGTGACGGACATGACACTGAATAACATTTCAAAAACACACATGTTTTAATCTTTCTGTATTAAATTAACCTGTAAATGTTCCGTTATGTTCATGTGCAGAGCCAAATGTAAAGGTCACCTATTGTGCAAAATCCACTTCTTCATGTCTCTTCTACATCAACATGTGTCCCCTCTTCTTCATGTCTCTTCTACATCAACATGTGTCCCCTCTTCTTCATGTCTCTTCTACATCAACATGTGTCCCCTCTTCTCCATGTCTCTTCTACATCAACATGTGTCCCCTCTTCTCCATGTCTCTTCTACATCAACATGTGTCCCCTCTTCTTCATGTCTCTTCTACATCAACATGTGTCCCCTCTTCTTCATGTCTCTTCTACATCAACATGTGTCCCCTCTTCTTCATGTCTCTTCTACATCAACATGTGTCCCCTCTTCTTCATGTCTCTTCTACATCAACATGTGTCCCCTCTTCTTCATGTCTCTTCTACATCAACATGTGTCCCCT